AAGCGAGCCGCGCCGTGCCGTGCTGAGCCGAGTCGTACCAGCAGTGGAAAAGCGAAGCGAGCCGAACCGTGCCGCGCCGAGCCGAACCGTACTGAGCCGTACCAGCAGTGGAAAAGCGCCAAAAGGTTCTTCACTAATGGTTCTTTAAGAACTGTTCACTGAAAGGTTCTTCACTAATGGTTCTTTAAGAACTGTTCACTGAAAGGTTCTTCACTAATGGTTCTTTAAGAACTGTTCACTGAAAGGTTCTTCACTAATGGTTCTTTAAGAACTGTTGACTGAAAGGTTCTTCACTAATGGTTCTTTAAGAACTGTTGACTGAAAGGTTCTTTACTAATGGTTCTTTAAGAACTGTTGACTGAAAGGTTCTTCACTAATGGTTCTTTAAGAACTGTTCACTGAAAGGTTCTTCACTAATGGTTCTTTAAGAACTGTTCACTGAAAGGTTCTTCACTAATGGTTCTTTAAGAACTGTTGACTGAAAGGTTCTTCACTAATGGTTCTTTAAGAACTGTTCACTGAAAGGTTCTTCACTAATGGTTCTTTAAGAACTGTTCACTGAAAGGTTCTTCACTAAAGGTTCTTTAAGAACTGTTCACTGAAAGGTTCTTCACTAAAGGTTCTTTAAGAACTGTTCACTGAAAGGTTCTTCACTAAAGGTTCTTTAAGAACTGTTCACTGAAAGGTTCTTCACTAATGGTTCTTTAAGAACTGTTGACTGAAAGGTTCTTCACTAATGGTTCTTTAAGAACTGTTCACTGAAAGGTTCTTCACTAAAGGTTCTTTAAGAACTGTTGACTGAAAGGTTCTTCACTAATGGTTCTTTAAGAACTGTTCACTGAAAGGTTCTTCACTAAAGGTTCTTTAAGAACTGTTCACTGAAAGGTTCTTCACTAAAGGTTCTTTAAGAACTGTTCACTGAAAGGTTCTTCACTAAAGGTTCTTTAAGAACTGTTCACTGAAAGGTTCTTCACTAAAGGTTCTTTAAGAACTGTTGACTGAAAGGTTCTTCACTAATGGTTCTTTAAGAACTGTTCACTGAAAGGTTCTTCACTAAAGGTTCTTTAAGAACTGTTCACTGAAAGGTTCTTCACTAATGGTTCTTTAAGAACTGTTGACTGAAAGGTTCTTCACTAAAGGTTCTTTAAGAACTGTTCTCTGAAAGATTCTTCACTAATGGTTCTTTAAGAACTGTTCACTGAAAGGTTCTTCACTAAAGGTTCTTTAAGAACTGTTCACTGAAAGGTTCTTCACTAATGGTTCTTTAAGAACTGTTGACTGAAAGGTTCTTCACTAATGGTTCTTTAAGAACTGTTGACTGAAAGGTTCTTCACTAATGGTTCTTTAAGAACTGTTCACTGAAAGGTTCTTCACTAATGGTTCTTTAAGAACTGTTGACTGAAAGGTTCTTCACTAATGGTTCTTTAAGAACTGTTGACTGAAAGGTTCTTCACTAATGGTTCTTTAAGAACTGTTCACTGAAAGGTTCTTCACTAATGGTTCTTTAAGAACTGTTCACTGAAAGGTTCTTCACTAATGGTCCTTTAAGAACTGTTGACTGAAAGGTTCTTCACTAATGGTTCTTTAAGAACTGTTCACTGAAAGGTTCTTCACTAATGGTTCTTTAAGAACTGTTCACTGAAAGGTTCTTCACTAATGGTTCTTTAAGAACTGTTCACTGAAAGGTTATTTTTAAGACATCGCTGCAAAACAAAAACCCTTTTGGAACCTTTACTTTTTTAGTGTATTTTAGTACCATTTATACATGCTGTTATAGTTTTGTTAATATTTTGAATTCGATTTAATTTTATTATTTTCTGTTTTCATTTTATTTTCAGTATAAGTTTTTGTGTATTTTCTATTAGCTTTTTTAAATGTCTATTTTTTTTTAGTTTTAGTTTATTTTAGTAGTTAAACT